GGGTGCAAAATCAAGCAACCGCGCAAAAATTAACCCGAGTTTAAGAATAAATTCTGAAGAAACCAGTGAATCGGATGAAACCAGATTCACATCACCTGTAAAATGAAGCTTCTGTTTTCCATTTTTAAGACCCGCAAAACACTATCTGAAGTAGGTGATTAGAAACCGGCATTAGAAGGACAGGGTGCAAAATCAAGCAACCGCGCAAAAATTAACCCGAGTTCCAGACTAAAGTATGAAGAAACGAGTGAATCGACTGAAACCCGATTCACATCACATGTAAAATGAAGCTTACGTTTTCCATTTTTAAAACCCGAAAAACACTATCTCATGTAGGTGATTAGAAACCGGCATTAGAAAGACTGGGTGCAAAATCAAGCAACCGCGCAAAAATTAACCCGAGTTTAAGAATAAATTATGAATAAACCAGTGAATCGAATGAAACCAGATTAACATCACATGTAAAATGAAGCTTCGGTTTTTAATTTTTAAGACCCGCAAAACACTAACTGAAGTAGATGATTAAAAACCGCCATTAGAAGGCCAGGGTGCAAAATCAAGCAACCGCGCAAAATTTAACCCGAGTTCCAGACTAAAGTATGAAGAAACCAGTGGATCGACGGAAACCCGATTCACATCACATGTAAAATGAAGCTTACGTTTTCCATTTTTAAAACCAGCAAAACACTATCTGAAGTAGATGATTAAAAACCGCCATCAGAAGGCCAGGGTACAAAATCAAGCAACCGCGCAAAAATTAACCCGAGTTTAAGAATAAATTATGAAGAAACCAGTGGATCGAAGAAAACCAGATTGACATCACAGGCAAAATGAAGCTTCGGTTTTCAATTTTTAACACCCGCAAAACACTATCTGAAGTAAGTGATTAGAAACAGGCATTAGAAAGACAGGGTGCAAAATCAAGCAACCACGCAAAATTTAACTCGAGTTCCAGAATAAATTCTGAAGAAACCGGTGAATTGGATGAAACCAGATTCACATCACCTGTAAAATGAAGCTTCCGTTTTCCATTTTTAAAACCCGCAAAACACTATCTGAAGTAGGTGATTAGAAACCGGCATCAGAAGGCCAGGGTGCAAAATCAAGCAACCGCGCAAAAATTAACCCGAGTTTAAGAATAAATTATGAAGAAYCCAGRYGATCGAKMGAAACCKGATTSACATCACWTGRAAAATYAAGCTTCGGTTTTCAATTTTTAYGACCCGCAAAACACTATSTMAAGTAGATGATTAAAAACKGCCATCCGAAGGCCAGGGTGCAAAATCAAGCAACCGCGCAAAAATTAACCCGAGTTTAAAAATAAATTATGAAGAAACCAGTGGATTGGAGGAAACCAGATTGATATCACATGCAAAATGAAGCTTCGGTTTTCAATTTTTAGGCCCCGCAAAACACTATGTGAAGTAGGTGATTAGAAACCGGCATTAGAAGGCCAGGGTGCAAAATCAAGCAACCGCGCAAAAATTAACCCGAGTTTAA